CCTTTGCCTTATTTGTTTAATACTTACAATTAACAGTCACCCTGACAGAAGCCGTGGCGTTGCCAACTCTATTAGTTGCTGTGCACCAGTACTCTCCATCTTGTTCTCTGCTAATGTTTTTTAGTGGAAGAACAGACCCTGGACACTTCTTGTCTCTGTTGCCTGGTCTTGACCACGTGACATTCGGAGGAGGTTTGCCAGTTGCGTTACAGGAAAGGGTAACGTCATTAGTCTCATTCAATGTTTGGTTTCTTGAGATTCCAGTGATATTTGGACGGACTATAACATTTTAATAATAGGTACGAGACAAGAAAATCAATATTTACATATAGAGTACAAAAAGCTTGTCCAACTCCGTAAACACTATTTTCTACCCTTTGCTTTCCTGTCGTTTCTATCCTTCGCAAAAACATATACTGCTCTTCACACCACAGTATAAAACCGTGGTTGGAGGCTTCTTAATTGGTAGGACATGTCAAACTCTAGCCTGTGACGAGGCTCCATGATGTATAGAGCACAAACACCAAAAAACAAAAACAATAGAAAAAAGAAAAAAAACAGAGAACAGAGCAAAGAAAAACAAGCGAGAGAACTTCCTCTCTATCTAGTCCCCGGCGTCTGTCCCTCATAACGAGAGAAAAGTGGCTCTGAAACCGTATGATATTATTAGCAAGAGTTTTTGGCTAAGATTTATCTCTAACTAAAAGCGTTCGATCATACATGTAGCACTTACAGTCCTTCAGAATGTTTGAAAACTGACTGACTGGGAGAATTTCAAGACTGAAGAATTTCACCACAAAATTTAGAGGGTGCAACATCCCATACTAGAAACCTTAAAAAATTAACGATGAAAAATATAGCTTACGGTCTGTCGCACCGAATCGTAGCTCATGTTAGTACTTTTAATGAAGTACGGATAGGTTTCGTCCTTTTCTATTTAACAAATAGAAGACATTTTCCTTTTTTCCGTGTTCCTATCTTGCATTTTTGGTATAGAAACACGAGGGAAGATGCCGTGGGAATATGAGCAGCAAAAGCACTACATTTCGACCATCAAAATTGTTTAACTTGTTCGTGGTTTCTAGTCCAAATCTTGAATACATTCATTCAGTTTCGGATCTTCTTTGTGTCATTTGTTCTCCCAAACTAATAGGCCCTTTGCAGCTGGGGTCACGTGACCACATTTTTCCTAGAAAAGTTTTATA